TGACGCCATAACTTCTTTTTTTTTTTTAATTTAGTTATTCTTTATTACTTTTACAATCACTTTCAATTTGACTTCGGTATGAATACTCATAAAATTCAAGTAAAATTAAGATTAAGAATATATACTTTATACTCAACAATTAAATTCTGTTCAATTCCAATTCCAACTATAATCACTTTGAACCAATAATCGAATAAAATGAAAGAATTCTTATAATTTTTTGGCAGAAAAAATTTTGTAGGAGAAATTTCGATCGTTTGATCAATAATTTTAAAACAATCTGAGTCATGAAAAGCTCAAGATAAATAATGTTAGCTTCCTTAATATAGATATATCACAAATTACATATATGTTATTCGCCTATTATACCATTCGAATATTATAATATTTTTATTTTAATACAAAATATGACCTATATTATAGTCATTCGACTCGTTTTGACGCAAAAAATCTATATTTAAGGTAAATTTGTTTATGTTAAAATATTAAAAATAATCTTTAATTAGAATTATAATTAATGATCTAATTAATGTGTAATATAGAATAGAGAGAGATAGAGAGTTATAAGAGAGATAAAAATTTTAGAATTGTGGAATAAATGAAAGTTTTGCTCAAAATATTTTTTTTTTGGGAGAGAAGAAAATTTCGTATTAGGACTGTCGGATCAATATTTTTTCAAATAATCTAAACCCTGAAAAATTAAAGACAAAAAAATCTAACTACTTTATAATATTTATTATATAGATAAATCTCCCCGGCACGAATACACGACCAAAGTTTTGATATTATCTGAAGCTGTAGATTCAATCATTCAGTATGGTCCACGTGGCATATAACTACTAGATAAGGTACATCTCATGCAAGTGCATCTTTGTTTTTTTTTTTTTTTGGGAGAGGGGGATCATACATTCATAATATATTACAATGGAAAAGTGACAGATTTCGCATTGTACGGAGGCCCTTTCATGTCCTTTTGATAAGCATTGGTTAATGTGGTCCATTAGCTCTTTATTTTTGCCGTTGTTGTTCTTTTGTCAAATAGTCCCACATAAGATCACAATGTTGGACGTGTTATACAGTGAAAAGCCCAACTAGGTCTTAAAAAGCTTTAATCGAGCGTAATGTATGAGGTTGATATAAATTTAATTTGATTTATACTAGTGCTTAGCAGTCTTGATCATTCTAATCATCATATGATTGCCTTTTTCTCATCTATCAAAATCTATTCATATGACAACACATGCAACCACCTAATCAAAGCTTGCCATGACTTGATGTAACGGTGGTTAGATGGCTTTCATGAACAAAGTTGAAGACTACCAAACTTGGTTGGGCAACTCAAATCACTTAGTCTTGGGAAGCCAGAAATTTTGTTGAGGGTGGACACTTTAACTATGCATTATAATTTTTTTAATTCTAACCAATCACGCTATATAATATATTTATATATTATATCGCATTTGATACATAAATTTCATTTAAAATAAAAAATACTAAAAAATAATGCATATTATATATGTACAAAAAATGACTAATTATTACTATCGTAAAAAAAATATTGTAATATAAAATACCAAAAAATGACTAATTATCAATTTTTTACTTTAGTTTTAGGTGGGTACAAGTGATATATTATACAAATATACAATATATATACCTAGGTAATAAAAAAAAAATTGAGGTGGGGCACTTGCCCACCCTGAACCATGCATGGCTCCGCCCATGCTTGGGTTACGATTCAAACTTTCATGTGTAAATCTAGCAAAGAATGTTTGTTTGATCTGATATACGTGAATTACTTATTATGATATGTATTTTAAAGTCATGTTATAGCCACGGATAAAAAAAAATGCATAATTGGTGCAATTCTAAGCTGGTGGAAAAAAGTAGAGGTCACAAAACTTCTCCCTCCCCATATAGTTGGACAACTAGGATGATTTAGACAAGGCTTGGAAACATCCTACAATGGGGACACAATAGCTCTAATGAAGATGCTGGTGTGTAAGCTTCACTAGGTTATTTGTTTGTGGGGTTTGGGTGGGGGGGGGGGGGGGGAGGGGGGGTGTATAGGGTTCCCATTTAGGAGAAGAGGACTAGGGTTTCTTGGAGTGTTATGCCTTCAACCTTACTAGTATAATACTTGAACATATAAACAAGTACACTACTTGATTGCTAAGAACATTGAAATATGAAAACTAAGACTAAGCTGGGGGAACCCAACACAGTCTCCCACTGCCCACATGCAGCATGTGTATTAGGATTACTCATTTAAACTCTCAAGCCTGGAGGGGCTCAGTCCAAGAAATTACTTTCTTCTAGCTATGTAAAATATAATTATAAAACAATTATTTGAGTAGTTGCCTGAAACCCGAGGAGATCACGTGGGTTGCGGGTCGAATCGAGCTAGGTTTAGGAATCCTCAGTGGCCTAACAAGATCCTACATGGGTGTGATTGAGTATTTTACAAAACGAGACACTTGCCAAGCACAAAAAATTCTACATTAATCCATGCCAAAAGCTCAAGTTTTTAATAGTAAGGAAATAACTCTAAACAGAAACCTTCAACATGTGACTGCTGCGTTATCTGATCCCCCTTTGGACAAAACTCTAGATTGAGCCAAAAAGAACCTCGAAGTTGCTAGACGAAAGACACGTTGTTTGTTGTTCCATTGTCTAGTTATAAGAGAAGTTTTTGAGGAGATGCATAGCTACAAAAGTTGTACTCCAAATATTCTACAATTCATTTCTAAAAAATCTACTTTGGAAAATAGTGACATTTGTCATACAAAAATTTCATATTTAGAATTAGGGAGAAGATTATGGTACCTGGGAAAAAAAATGATACTGTACTTAAGGTTTTTTTTAACTTTTGTGGGTTTTAATATAAGTTTTTGAGTTTGTTTAATTACCACAAAAGTTAAATGGGTTTCAAAAGTTATAAAAGAACCATAAAATTTAGGAAAAATTACACATAAACTTCTTAAGATTAGTTATTTAATTACTTAGATCCCTGATATTTAAAATATTACATACAGATCTCTTAAAGTTTGTACTTTTAATGTCGGTTAGTATATCTATTAATAAATTATACTTAGACTTCCTAAAATGTGGATTTCTCAAGTTTAAAATATTACACTCAAATCCCTTTTTAGTTACAGAATTAACATAATTTATTAAACAACCAAATTACCTCAATTAAAGATATAAGAGATTGTATCCGGTATAATTTGGCCCATTGTTTGATTTTTTTTTTTTGTTTTATTTTATTCCAATAGATAGTATAATTATATACAATTGAGTGTTGAATTGAATTTTTTGATATATTTATACCGATTATTACTTTTTTCTCAAGAATTTAAGATTTTGTTTAGTTTTTATGTCAACAGATGATATAATAGAATATACAAATGTTTTTTTTTTTTGATCAGAGAATATACAAATGCGTTGATTAGGCTTATTTTATATGTTCATTTTTTATGATGAAAAAATTTACCCAAGGTGAAAAATTCATTTAATCCAAGTCCAAACTGATGTGGAAGTCGTCCAAATTTTGGTATTAATAATACTAATTATGATTTTTTCTTAAAAAAAATTAAATATTTATTTTTGATTTTATTTCAATAAATGATATAATAAAATATAAATTTTAGTTGTGAAATTTAAGAAATTTGATATTCTATCTTTAATTAGAGTGTTTTTGATACAAATATAATATTTTAAACTTGAGAGATGTTAGTATTATACATTTTAAATTTCAAGGGTCTTGATGTAATTTATTGACGGAGGACATTTAATGGTTGTGTCTATATGTTACGTGCGTACAAATTTTAAAAGTTTATGTATAATATTTTAAATTTTAGGGATCTAAATGATTAAGTAACAAACTTCAAGAGATCTGAAAGTAATTTTTTTTTAAATTTATAATAATGGTATAGCACCAATTTTTTTCCCGATGTAACATAGATTTCTCCAAGAATTAGATCCCCTAAAAAAAGGTATAGATGTATCAAACCCCAAACAACCAGCTTGGAGGAACAGTGCGTACAATTTTTGCATATAAACATTCCAGCAAACTGCGGTCTGCGGACATGCCCACAACCTCCAAATATTAACACTTCAAAATACTCCCATTTTCTAATCTTAGAAGAGTAAATAGCAAATGGGCACATCAGAGATGGGTACCGCTTGCATGTTAGATCAGTACTTTGCTGACCTCGGGTAGATGTATCAGAGAGAGAGAGAGAGAGAGGGTTCCGGGCACGTGAGTCTTCTTGCTGGTGGCCAAGATATCCATTGCCACTCTGATTCTGGGTCAGCCTTGGATTTTGGGTAAAAAGCCGAGAGAGTAAGAAATAGAGAGTTTGATACCCTGCACTTTATTCTCTTCAAATTCGATACTTCGCTGTAAACAGAACGAGGTTTTGAGAAGGGAACACTACGCCCCTCTCTTTTCTTTCTCTTTCTAAATAATATCTCTCTCCTTATGTCTCCTACATTGTCTTGTTCTAGCATCAGAGTCCCCTAGTCTTACTTCAGATTTGTCCTTCTATCCGTTGTGCCTTTGAATCTTGTTGTTTCTTTCTTCTTTCTCTGGGCTTGACAACGAAGAGCAGAGAGAGAGAGTAGCCCTACCGGGTTCTTTGAACTTTTGATTGGTGTTTGATTACACAGAAACCAGAATGCCAAGCAATTGGGATTTTCTTATTTCCCTCAATTGTTTACTTTTATAACATGAGAAAAGAGACGACTCTGTTCTTTTCTCTTTCAAAGAACTGAGTTGTCTCTTCCTGTTTTGAGCCAGTACATGTTCTTTTCTTGATTGTTTCTTGCAGAGAGATTGAACGCACTGATTGAAAATAAGGCTTCTGTTTATGGGCTTTTATTCTTCAATTCTATTTTGTTTTTCTTCATTGATGTATGATTTTGTGCAAAACCCAAAATTTTCAATCGATAACTGATTCCAGAGCAGAAAGTTTCAATCTTGTATGTCCGTACCCACGAATGAAGTTGTGAAACCATGAGAGATGGGAGCTCCAAGAAAAATAAGGTTGGGCCAATAAAATGCCAAAGCTTCAGTCACCAACCATTTATCTGTTTTTTTTTTCATTATTATTGTTTTTCTGATACTTGACTATGTATCTTTGGTGAAGCTTTCATGGCCTAAGTCACTGATCAAGAAATGGTTCAATATCAAGAGCGAAACCGAGGATTTTCACGCCGATGACATGGTTTACAAAGGTAATTCATTCTTATTCTATGCATTATCGAATTTTGTTCTAAATCTAATATTGGGTTCTGTACTGTAATTGGGATTTTTAGCTTTTATATTCTGAAATGCAAAATGGGATTTTCCTGCAACTTTCAGTGACTTGCTGTAGTCTATTCTGCACCAAACGCTGTTTATTTTGTGCAATAACGTTGGATTTTAATGGGTTCTGTCGTTTCTATTTGTAGCTTAAGATCTGATCTTTGTTTTCTTGGTCGTTCTGAAATGCATACATTATGTATTTTTGGATCGGTACTAAGTTATTTTTGTTTTGTGTTTTATGTATGTGAGAACTATGCAAGAACGACGAAAGAACCACAGCTTTTGCAACTTTATGTTTTCATTTTATTTTACCTTTTTCAGGTGTTGATAAAGAATGCAGGAACAGCTTCTCAGAGAGGGAGGCGTGCACTATCAAGAAAAGCAGAACAGGTTTAATATCAGACAACCAGTATTCCTTTGGACCACGCCACTCTCAAACCCCACTATAATTTTGCATAACAAAGCCCAAAACAATAGACTAGGAAAATAACTAGTTTTATTCTTCCCTTGACAGAGAGTTCGAGTAGGGGGAACTGTAATCACATCCAGCGAAACAAGGTTGAACTTGATACCTCCCAGGTTACAAATGCACATACTTATAGGTTTGTTAGATCTTACTCAATCTCCTTTTGATGATTTTTTTTATGTAAGAGGTGGCGATTTTTTTTTAATCTTTACATGTGGAAGCAGGATCTTTGTAGCCACATGGAATGTGGCCGGAAAATCGCCACCAAGTTTTTTAAACCTTGAAGATTGGTTGCACACCTCAACTCCTGCTGACATTTATGTTCTCGGGTGAGTGATTAACACAAATTGCCTCTATCATGTAGCTTTTGTAGTACTTTAGGGAATCCTGTTTGATACTTTTGACAGTCAGGTTTCAAGAAATTGTTCCTTTGAATGCTGGTAATGTTTTGGGCACAGAGGACAATGGCCCAGCTAAAAGATGGCTGGAACTCATTAGAAAGACTCTAAACAGCTTTCCGGGCACCAGTGGTGGTGGCCACACGCCTTCCCCAGTACCTGATCCAATTGTGGAGCTAGATGAAGACTTTGATGGATCAACAAGACAAACGGCCTCGTCTTTCTTCCACCGTCGTTCGTTCCAGTGCCCAAGTCGAAGCATGAGGATGATGGATAATGACATGTCATTACCACCACCTCGACTTGATCGTCGATTCAGCGTTTGTGACCAGGTTATTTTTGGCCACAGGCAAAGTGATTATGACTCAAATGTTGGAGGGCACTGGCCAATTGACTATGAACGGAATGTCAGATTGTATGATTCCTCTGACGATGAAAATGGGCCAAACAATTCACCAGGTACCACGTACCACTCGCCAATGTCATATAATGGGTCTATTTCTATGAGAGATAGAGATAGACAGCCAGGACACTCAAGGTACTTCTTGGTTGCGAGTAAGCAAATGGTAGGGATATTTCTCACAGTATGGGTGAAGAGCGATTTAAAAGATGATATACGAAACATGAAAGTATCTTGTGTGGGTAGAGGATTGATGGGTTATCTTGGAAACAAGGTACACTTTCGCCTTCATGAAAATTTCCTGAAAATTGGAAGCAAATTTGTGTAAAACAAAGCAAAAGAAGCAATCGTGTTATATTTTGTTTTCCAGGGTTCGATTTCAATTAGCATGTCCTTGCACCAAACAAGTTTCTGCTTCATTTGTAGCCATTTAACCTCTGGACAGAAAGAGGGTGATGAGCTGCGAAGAAACTATGATGTCATGGAAATTCTTAGGAAGACAAGGTTTCCAAGAGTGCATGGCATAGAATTTGAGAGCTCCCCTCAGACAATCCTTGAGCATGAGTAAGGCCTTTTTTCATTAACTTCTGAATATTATTTTGCATTTTCTATTGTGGTTTTAAAGCATCATAAGCTTTCAAATGTTTCAATGATATGTAAACATTTTCCTTGCTTCATCGAATTGGGCAACATATAGAGTTTGCATTTTAGCAATATGTTGCGTGAAGTTTCAAGTCATGTTTGTGTCCTGTGTAGTCGAATTATATGGCTTGGGGATTTGAATTACCGGATTTCCCTGTCCTACTGTACTGCAAAGGCTCTTGTTCAGCTGTGCAATTGGAGGGCTTTGTTAGAAAACGACCAGGCATGTCAACCGTAACTTTTTAGGGGAATCTAATATTTTTCCCCTTCTACCGTGTCCAGCATTTCTTCCTCTTGAAATATTCCATGAACTGCTGCAACTGAATCTTTGATGTTATTCTTAGCAGCTAAGGATAGAGCAGAGGGGAGGACGTGTTTTTGAAGGATGGAATGAAGGGAAGATATCTTTTCCTCCCACATACAAGTATTCGAATAATTCAGATAGATATGCAGGAGATGACATGCACCAAAAAGAGAAACGAAGAACACCTGCATGGTAATCCTTCTTTTGAAAAAATACAGGCAGTTATCGGTAATGAAAACAAAGAGGAAAAACCCATTCACCATGCAAACCAGAAAGTTTGTTATTCTACACACTTGAGAAAAGAAATGGCAGTGTGGGATTATACATCTGCATAATTTTCTAGTGAAAGTGGAGATGTTTAAAACACACCATAACTACACTGGACAACTAATTTTGTAATTTGGCCTGTGAAGGTGTGATCGTATACTGTGGTATGGTAGAGGCCTCCATCAAATATCTTACCTTCGTGGGGAGTCTCGATTATCGGATCATAGACCAGTTTATAGCATATTTTTGGCAGAGGTTGAGTCTCTCGGCTGTCATCGATTCAAGAAAAACATGAGCTGTTCCAGTTCTAAGATTGAGGTTGAAGAGTTGTTGCTGTACTCTTATGTATACAATGGACTTGATTTCTTCGAATGAATGATCTACATCCAAGTAAGCTCTCCTGCCTCCTCCCCTCTCTCTCCTCAGTTACTTGTCACCTTGTCTCAATGAATTGCCTTTTTGGTCAGTTGCTCCTCAACATTTTACCATTACTGGCTCTTCAGGATAGCACTATTTTGATTACCTCAATGAACATTCGCAAACTTGTCAAATACTTCTTCTCTGGACTCTTTTGCAACAAAAATAGTCGTGAAACACAGAGCTTGTTCATTAGGTTGCAGTTCCTTGTGATTTTCCTCAGTATGGAAGCCAGTTTTATCAACCCTAAGAAAGATTTTATGCAAATTCAAGATATCAAGAATGAATGAAATTCCATTTGTTCATCAATTAAACTCGTTTATTCCTCAATCAATCAGATCACTAGGCATTACTCATTACTGACCCTGTTTTGAAATTAAAAGACTGTAATCTTAAAAAAAAAAACAACACAAAGGAACTGCTTTCATTAAATTTGCAACAGTGACAATAGGCTGATGACTTGCTTTCTACTTGATGTTTCTTTTGAGTTGAATAAATATTTCTTAAATTTATTGTTGTAAATCTTGTCTTCTTCAATTCTGTAGTGTACAGTTTGGGGGCGATCGTTGCTCGTTCTTATTCTTGTCTGCAATTTTGTGCCTCAGTTTGAAGGTTGGCCAAAAGAACTTTGTATCTACGGTGATTTTCAATCTGATTTTGACACATTCTAAAAGGAGGTTAGTCTTTGCTTACTTCCATTCTGTCAGGCTACAATTCTTTCCTTTTTCTCCCCCAATATTTGAGTGTCTAAAGCTTTCCAACCCTTCTCTCAGCAGGTCCCTACTTCTACCTCTGTGCATAACTGCTAACTTCACCACTCTCCAACTCTCAATTCTTGTAGTCCTGGAGCCTGACCATGAAATTTCTCACTTTTTTTTTTTTTTTTTTTGGGGGAGGGGGATCAAGCATCTGCGGTCGTGTTTGGCAATGAGGTAGGTAAAGTTAATCAGTTGTTTGCTCATCACATATTTCATTACATTTGGCCAACATTTTTGTAATGGTGTTGCAGGACAAGAACACCGAATCTAAAAGTGCCTTGTGGTTTGGTGATATAGTCGATCATAATTCTTTTTGTGGTTATGGAAAATAGATTTAGCAAATTGTTTTAAACCAAAAAAGATGGAAGGTAGAAGAAAAACATAGTTTTTGTGCGTGCAGAATCTTGCACAATATAAACACGAGGACAGATCTCTCCCGTGGTGAACACGAGTCAGTCAATCGAATGGTCAACCTTGTTGCTTGGAACAGACTGTGAGAATTGGTGGTAGCCTGGAACGATAATGGGTGACTTTTGTGGGTCACCGGGGTGGTCCTGTAAGGCTAAGGGAGATTCTTGAAACAGAGAAAAACGTGTTAGGAGGGCGCCAAAGTGTTTTTCGGCGTATCCCCTCCGGCGATCAAGTCAGTTCTTTGAGATAGAGAAAGAAGAAAACACTGTGTATAGATTTGAGAAAAAGGTTTTTGCGTACCTCGTCATGCGTTTTGTAAGGAATATTTATACCTTAAAAATTCATGATTGTTATCAGTATGGTCAGTAGGTAATCATTAGAGGTGAGTAACGTGCGCACTGGTTTTTAGGAGAAATAATCTCTTCCTTAACTGTTCGGGACCCCAAGCAACCAATGCATCACCCTCAGTCTGTTGAGTGTTTAATGATCTTCACTCGGTAGGGATATATTAAATGTTCAGTCACAGGAACATTTATTGTCTTTCACTTCCAGGTCTTCACGTATTAAATGTTGTCTCATCAAGGGAAAGGTGCATTAAATACTTGCTTTCTCAAGTCGTGTGTCAGCAAGGGTATTCTGGTCTTTTTGCCTCTGATCTGACACAATACGCCACGTGCCAGCTCTCATTTGGTTGAGTCTTTTGTTTTCTTGTGCATCCTGACACCATCTAGGTAAGACCAGGTCATGATGGCTAATCTAGCTTAGCCCAGGCTGATGACCTGTCTATCCATAACCCTGCAAGAACATAAACGCTGATGTAGTGGATACACCTCGGTGCCGAGGGTCTAGTACGGTTAGGGGCCGATGTACCCCCCAAATTCGACCGAGGAATACATGTCACCCCCGTGCATACCGGCGTCGTAGATTCTTATGCATAGTACTCTCCTCGGGGGAAGAGAGATCATGATCCGACGAGCACGTGTCGTGATCACAACAGAGAGTATTTCTTTGACATTGAGTACACGTGTCGCTATCTTGAAGTGTCTAAAAATGTCCCATCAATTTTTTCTCCCACAATTTATTGTACTCGAGGAAGAGATAAGTGGAGACTAGATGGTGTAGGAGGAGAGAAGTGACTTGATTTTCTATAGTTAATTTATGCATATCTCGACATTTCTTCTTGTTCGGCCAAAGGTCAATTATTTATATCGAGATTAGGGTATTTATGATGAATAAATTTTTTATAATTTAGTTCTAAATACAAAATTTTATTTAAATAGATAGCCAAGTATCTAATTTTTAGAGATGAAATTGGAAGCAATAAATTTTAGTATGTCTCTGAAATGGAGTTAAAATTGTTTTGATTTATCTTTTTAATTTTATTTTTTATTGGATGGTATTTTTTAATATTATATTTTTATTTTTTATTCCATAAAAAAATTGACGCATGTAAAATTTTTATTTTATTTTATTAGTTTTATGATTTTATTAAATAAGAAATACTAATAATTTCAATCAAAATCAGTAACAACATATAGATTTTGATATAGTATCAAATCAATCCGGTAGGTAACCTTGTTCATCAAAGTAAGGAAAAGTGATGTTTAATAAAAAAAAGCTGCAATTATTACACGGACGACGTGTCTACGTCTCACAGCTGCTTGCTGGTTTTTTGTGCCGCCATTGGTCCCAGGTGCCAATCATTAGCTGCTCACCCTACCATCCATTTCCCTCTTTCCGAATCATTATAGCAACAGGGTTGATCTTCATCTTAGGAACATAGCAACACAAAATTCACCGAAAAAAAATAATCTATTTACATGCATATTCATCTATTATGAAGATACGTAAAACACAAGTGTTCACTATGAAAATGATTCACACAACAAAAATTATAACTGTGCGTACACGATCCTGCACAATATAAATATTAGAATATATATCTTCTATGATGAACACGAATTCATCAATCGGGTGATTAATATTGTTACTTGGAACAGGTTGTGAGGATCGAAGGTGGCCTAAGGAGGGATAATGAATTGTTTTTATGAGTCGCCTGAATGATCCTGAGAGGCTAAGGGAGACTCCTGGAACAGAGAAAGACAGGTTAAAAGGGCGCCGGAGTATTTTTCGACGTATCCCCTCCGACAATCAAGTCAGTTCCTTGAGAGAGGGGAAGAAGAAAACACTGTATGATAGTTGAGAAAGGATTTGTTGCGTACCCCTTTTCTGTGTTTGTAAGGACTATTTATACTTTAAAAACTCATCATTACTGACAACGTAGCTAGTAAGTAATCATTGGAGATGAGCAGTGTACACACCAATTTTTATGAGTAATGTTCTTATTCTTAACTGCTCAGAACTTTGAGAAACTAATGCTTTCTCCTCGGTCTGCCGAACATTTAATGATCTTCCCTCGGCGGGGATGCATTAAATGTCTAGGCTTTGAGACATTTATTACCTTTCACTTCCAAGCTCTCATGCATTAAATGTTATCTCATCAAGAAAATGGTGCATTAAATACTTAATTTTCCAAGTCCTGTGTCAAAAAGGGCATTCTGGTCTTTTTGTCTCTGATCTGACACAATACGCCACGTGCCCATTCCCTTTTTGGTTAAGCCTTCTGCTTTCTTGTGCCTCCTGACACCATTTGAGTAAGACGAAGTTATGATGGCTAGTCTAGCCTAAACTAGGCTAGTAATCTGTCTATCAATAGCCTCTACAGCAACAGAAATGCCCTCGCGGATAGATACACCTTGATGCCAAGGGACTAGCATAATTTAGGACCGATAAACCCAAATTATCGAGGAATACGTGTCGGTTCATGGTGGTTTGGGGATCCTTGATCCCGGTGAATAGAATCCTCGGGGCAGGGGGATTGGAAATCGACGAAGACGTGTCGGGATCAGAGCGTGAGAGTCTCCATTAACACCAAGTACATGTGTCATCATCTGGGAGTGTCTGAAAATGTCCCATCAACTGCCCCCAGCCTTCGATCTTCTGACGTCGAGGACACGCGTTGTAAGGAGACGAAGAGTTCTACAACTGTCCCAACCACTCCATCATTGCTTCCAACCGTTTTCCGCCGCTTAGGAGGTCGTGCGTATTAAATGCGTCTCTTCGTGCTTAATGCCTAATGATGCGGATGGGTACTATATAAACGGGATCTCTCTCTCTTTCCCAAACTTTTGCCATTTCGAATTCACAGAGCTTTCGCTTGAAACCTCGTCGGAGACCCCCTTTGTCACGTCGTCTACCAATCAGTCGTTACCGGAGTTTGGACCAGCAAACCCCCTCTTGCTTTTAAACTTTCTTGAGAAAGGAACCATTCCAAGTCCTTCATAAACTTTCGTTTCGCATTCTGGTGAGTCCTTGCATCTTCCTTCTTTCTGTCCTTCTGGGTTTTTATTTTTCATTCTTCGGTAACCAGAGGTGTTTCTGGTTGTCATCATGTGACCAACCCTCAGGAAACCCCTCAGGGATCTTCGTAGAAAAACTTTTTTTGCTCCCCCTCTACTTTTTATTTTAATTGGAGATTCCTCGACATCGCCCTGCCACCAAGGATCCCTAGGCTAGTTCCCCGAGGTCAGGGAAGTGCAGAGTGAGGGGAGACCAGCAGATCGATAAGTTTAGGGCCTAGTATCACATTCCCCGAAACGTAGCTATAGAAGATTACGACCCAATTTTACATAACCGTAATATCACGGCTGAGGATGAGATGCCTTTTTACACCAAAGCAATCATAGAGGGTGGAATTAGGTTCCTTATGCATCCTCTATTCCTCCAGTT